CCAGGAGGGAAACTCCATCCGGACCAGCTTGGCTGCTGCTTCCCATGTCCCTCTGGAACACAGGGCTTCACTGGTAAAACCCTCACTTGTCCCCAGCACATGCGTGGGGAAACAAGTATTGGAAAAAAATGCGCAAGGATGGGGCTGAGACTTGACAAACAGAGGGGACAGCTCCAGGCTCTCTAGGGCATGGACCCTGTCCATGTCTTGTCCCCATGGCAGTTTCTCCCACCTCAGAGTTACATCCAGAGTGACCCGTAAACCTCCGAAGCACTGACCACGTCCTTCTGTTTGCATGCACTGTGCACTCCTATATTAGCATAGGATGGGAGAACAAAATAAATAATCCACAGCTTGCAGTAACAAACCTGGCACCCAGAACAAGCCAAAAGCCTGACCTTTCATAGTTAGGCATCCTGGTGAGAGGTTAAATCTTCTGTTTTCTGATCATCAAACAGGAAAGCATTAGCCAGACAGAGAGAACAAGCTCTTATCTAGACCTGATTTCTCTCCCCTCCAGGGGATCCTGTTGGATATTTCAGTTCTCTCTTGCTCGCTGTATGACTCTTCCCTCCCCCAGTTGCTTGAAATCAGCCAAATTCACAATCTAATCTGGCCGGGAGTCAAAGGGGAGAAAAATCAAGTCCTAATGCAGTGACTACTTTGAATGGGGAATTGAAGCCAATCAGAAAGGCATTATTGATCCCTGCTCGGAGCACCTCGGTCAGGGAGGGGAAAGCTGCGGGCAGCCGCAGAGCTGCCCACCGCAGCCAGCCAGGGCTGCCCTGCCAGGCCTGCAGCGTTCCCAACAGAGTTCCCCAGCACCTGTCTGGGCTGGGAGCCGGCCCTGTCTGGCATGAGGAGAGCACCCACCACCCCCGTGCCAGCACTGGCGAGCAGTAACCCACGGCATGCACTAGCCCCTGGTGTGCACCAGCACGTGTGTGCGAGAGCGTGACCCGTGTTGTGCTACTGACAGCGCTGTGTTTGTGTGCAAACACTTCCAGGGCGCATCGCTGTGGTGTGGGCCCGTCTGTGGGAGCCAGGCTGCTCCGTCGGACGGGGTGTGTGCACCAAGGGCTACGCGTTCCAGCGGCGTTAGTGCGGGGCAGCTCTGCGGGAGAGCCAAGGGCAGGCAGCGGTGCTGGGGGTGTGCGTGTGTACGAGTGTACCTGTGCCCCCCAGAACCCGCCTGTGTGACTCCAGCACAGTCCCTGCGGTAGGCTGAGGCAGGCAATGGGGTGGCTCAGCCCGGGCAGAGGGACAGGGGCAGCGGAGGATGGGGAGCAGCCAGGCAGGGCTGGGCTCAGCTCTGGGCATCCCTGGGTGCGATCTCGATGATCCGGCCCGCGTCAGTGCTGGCTACGGGCTCCTCTGCCTTATGTAACCGCAGCAGGGACGGAGCAGCGAAGGGGGACGGGAGAGAAGGCGGAGAGGAGTTCCCCACTGAACCCAGCAGAAGCTGGTTACCCCTGGCAGGGCAGCTCTAGACGCCAGGCCGAGTTGCGTTGCCACTGGGCGGGCTGGCCCGGTTCGGGGCTGCCCCGGTGCGGGGCAGGTTTGGCCACCAGTGCCAGTCCCTGCCGGGAGCTGCCGCCAGGCTCAGCCAGTGGGGATGCGGGGGTACCCCCTACCCGGGGAAGGAAAGGAGTCCTGGGAAGTTTGGGGAATCCCACATTTTGCAAGGAGGCAGGAGGGAAACATGTCCCCTAAAAAAAAAACCCAAACCTGCGTGGGGTCCCCGTAGCTCCTGTCTCCCTTGGGCTGTGCTCCCCAGCCTGCCATCCCGGGCACCACGGAGCCGTGCGGCACCGGCACCCCCTTACCTGCCGGCATCACGTCTGCTGCTGCCTGCCCTGCTCCGGCTCTTCCTCCTCCTCTCCTCCTCCTCTCTCCCTCTCCCTGCTGCTTGGGGCTCTTTATGGAGATTCATTCATTCATGCCTTCCCATCGGTCCCTCAGCCTTTCCCTGCCTCCCGGAGGCAGAGCGTGTGACGCCTCGCCCCTTTCCAGCCACTTTCCGCTGTCACAGAGCGGCGCTGCCCCAGCCCGGAGGGGTGGCCGGGCTGGGACACGCGTGGGCAGCGCCGGACCGGGGGAGCGTCCCCCAGCGCGGGGCGAGGGGGGTGGGCGGGCGTGGGCACGGCACCGACCCGCCCTAGGGGGTACAGACCGTCTCCGGCGCCCATCACCGGGGTGTCGGGTCGCCTCCTTTCCTCTCTGCCCTCCTTTTTCCTCAACCCCACGCCAGGCGCTGCCCAACGCCGCCGGTTCCCACTGAGCAGCGGCTGCTGCGGAGAGGGTGCGGGTGGGCCCGCACCCCCGGCCGGTCCCCGAGCAACCCTCGCCCCTTCTTTCCCTCTCTCTGCTCCTCCGCTCTATCCCAGCCCAGCCCAGCCCGTCCTTCCTCCCCCACTCCCGCTGCCTCCGCACCCGCTCCAGGACTGCATCCCGCTCCGCCGACCGCTGCCCCATCCACGCCGCTGACAGAAGCGCTGACTCAAGCTCGGAGCGGAGCGGCGGAGCCCGACTTGGGGGACCCAGGCTCCGGAGCCACCAGGCACCGTTCCCCTGGATGGTCCCATGTCACCCCTTCCCGCCCCGCCCCGGGGAGGCTGCCCCCATCCCGGGGGCCACTCGCTCCTCCAGGTCACTGGTTAAACTTCACCCCTGCTCCGGCCTTCCCCAGGACGGGGTCCCCTCCCTGCCCAGTGCTGCACTTCGGGAAGCTGAGGACACGCTCCCGACCACCATCGACAGCACTCCGCTGCCCACTGCCCCCCGCTGCAAGGGCAAACCCAGGAGGTGTGTGGGGGGTGTGAGCCCTGCAAGGTGCCAGGCAGTACAGCGGGAGGTGCCAAGGGGGGTATTTTAGGTGCTAAACTCATGCGGATTGCCTCGTATCTGCACAAGCACGGGGTTATTCTTTCCAGATAGACACGGCGGAAAAATCCGCTCTTTCCCTTTAAAGATACCGTCGGAAATGTGGAGAGCAGCTCCCGAGTTCGGGCGCTGCCAGAGCCTTCGGAGCAACAAACCCTGAAGTTGGGGCGAAACCCTTTAAAAACCCTTCCCGGAGCGCCCCGCCCGCTCCCGCCGAGCCGCGCTGTTCCCACCGTCGGTGCCACCCCCTTCGCATCGGTGCCATCAATTTCTATTAACGATCGCTTTATTCAGTGCTGCAAACTTCTAAATATTTAATCCAGCGCGAACCGGCGGTGGAACGCGCGGAGCTGACGGGAGGAGGAGAGTCCCCGGCCGGGGAGACGGGAACGGCGGCTCTGCCCCGGGGGAATCTGGTGATGCCGGTCCCCCCCTTCCCCTCCCTCCGCGGGGCTTTCCCGGGGCTGTAAATCACATCTTGGACGTGGGTAGCACCGCAGGTCTCCCAGGCTGCTCGGCCCGGGAAAGCAGGGATGAGCAACGGCGAGGAGGATTCTGTCCAGGGAGAGCTGGAGGAGGAAAGGGGGGGGTGAGGGGAGGCATCTTCGCAGCACCGGGACGCGGCTGCCCGTCGGGTCCCGCCACGCACGGGACGAGCAGCCCCTTCCACAAGAAGCGGGACGGAGGCTGGGGACCGCCGGGGATTTGGGCTGGTTGGAGGGGTCCTGCCCAGGGAGGAGGGGCTGCCCTCCACTGCCCTGACATCCCTGGGTACCACGCACCAACCCCCCGCGGCACCGAGGACCCCCAGCCCCGGCCGAGCCTCATTCAAAATGTAACCAAGAAAATTCTTTGGCAACTCCGGTGGCGGTTCAACACCGGCTGCGCTGACGGGCGAGTGCCCCAGTCCGACGGGCGAGCGTCCCGGTGCTCCGTGCGCTGCCTGCATTCGGGAACTTTACAGCAACATCTGTCATTATAATTAAAACCGCAACACATCCTCCGGGCAGGAACACGTTCCCGCGTCGTCGCGTGTCCGTTCGCCCCCCCTCGTCCCCCGCCTTCTCTTAAAAAAAAAAAAACAAGCGAAAGCGGCTCAAACTCGCAGGCGGGCACCTGCCCCCGACTCCCCCGAGCCATCAGCGCGACGGCAGCCGCACCCGGCGAGGTCCCGGGGACCGGCCCCCCTGTCCCCCGGAGCATGGACACCCCCCCACCCTCCTCCACTAATTTTCTTTAATTAAAGCTCTATGTGCGGCGCGTTTGGCGAGAACAGAAATAGCCGCTGAAGGAGCGCGTGTGGGGGGAGGCAGGTCCCAACTGCCGGCGTGGGAATGCAGAAGGGATTGGGGGGGCGGGGGCAGCAGAATCGGGGAGCGTCTGTACTACAGCCCCCACCCCAAGACTGGGAGCCTCTGGGGTTATTTGGGGTGGTGGGTGAGAGGCCCCCCCGCCCCGAGCGTTCCGTGCGGCGCTGTGGCGACCCGGGCGGAAGCCCCCTGACCCCGGGGGGACGCTGCTGCCCGCGGCACCGGCTCTTCCTCCGGAGCACCGGGGCTTCCCGTAGGCAACAGTTGCAGGGGCGGCCGCAGGGGCTCCCCGGGGATGCCCCGGCTCGGGCGCGCCCCGCAGGCGGGGAGAAGACCCCGAAGTGGGGATCCCCCATGGGCGGGGTGGGGGGGACACCGGCCGGCGGGGTTCCCGCCTCCGCGTCCCCGGCCCGGCCGTGGGGAGCTTCTCCGGGCCCGATCTCCCCCTCGCCTGGGGGAGAAGGGCAACGGGAGCTGTCCTGGCGGAGCCTGGGGACCCCCGCCCGCGGATGCGAGGGCGCCCCGCTACCCCCGCCGCCGGCCCCGCGGTCTCCTCCCGCCGGAGCCCAAACCTGGGCTGCAGCCGCCAAAAGTTTGGCGACGCGGAGCGGCCACCGGGGGCTGCGCGGGGCTCGCCGGGCACCCGGGGCTCGCCGGGCACCCGGGGCTGCCGAGCAGCGCGGGGCGCCGCGGCGGGGCGACACCGGGCGCGGGGCCGGTGCGGAGCAGGGCGGGGGGCTCCGCCCGGGGTCGGGGACGGCGCGGGAGGACCGGTCGGGCTGCGGCGGCGGCTGCGGGCGCACCTACCTGCTCCGGCGGCGGCTCCCGGCGCTCGGCGGCGCGCCCAGCCCCGAGGCGCGGTGATGGGCGGCGGACGCACCCGCGGCTGCGGCTCCCCGCGCCCTTCCAGGCGGGCGGGCCGGGGGCAGGAGGCGGGTAGGGAAACGCAGCCGGAGCCGAGCAAATCCCAGCGCTGGAGCCCGGCCTCCGAGAAGAGAAGGGCTGCAGCTCCTCACTGCGTCAGGCGGAGAGCTCTGCCCGTGAAGGCGGCGCCGGGCAGCGCTGCCAGGCCCGGGGGGCTCCACCGGCACGACTCGGCACGGCTCCGCTCGACGCGGTTCGGGTGGGATGGGATGGGCACGGCGCGATTCGGCTCGGGGCGGGCCGGGCGGAGGGGTGCGGTGGGGCACGGGTCGGCTCGCCTCGACTCGGCTCGGCCTAGCACAGTCCGGCTCGGCTCGGTAGGGCTTGGCACGGCCGGTTCGGCTCGGCTACGGCTCAGCTCGGTTGGGCACGGCACGGCCCGGTTCGGAGGAGCGTGGTTCGCCGGGGCTCGGTGGGACCCGGCTGGATCCGACCGCGCTGTCACAGCCCGGAGCGATAAGCGGCTTGGCCGGGAGAGTCGGGCTGGCACCGGAGGGGCGGCGGGGGAGGGGGCTGTGTGTGTGTGTGTGAGACACTGTATGTGTGTGACACAGAGTGTGTGGCACTGTGACACTGTGTGTGTGACACTGTGTGCACGCGTGACACTGCATGGCACTGTTCAGCACCGCGTGTATACCGTGCGTGACACTGTATTTGTGACACTTGCATGTGTGTGACACTGTGTGACACTGTGACACCGTGTGCAGCACTGTGTGCAGCACTGTGTGTGTGACACCTTGTGAGAGTGGGGTTGTGAGTGTGCAGGGTTTGTGAAGGTGTGAGTGTGTGTGTCGGGGACATCTGCCTCTCTTGTGGGTGTGCCTGTGCTTGTGCATGTGTGTGGTGACACCCTGAGGGGTGCAGGAATGAGTGTGTCCGGGTGTATCTGAGCTTGTGTGTGTGACAGGCGGTGGGGGGAGTGCAGGGGACAGGGTGTGTCTGTGTGCCTGTATTTACACACACGTGTCGGTCTCCCTGAGCCCGTGTGAACATCTCTGTGTGTCCCCATGTATGCATGACAGCCACCCCACCCCTCACACCAAATCTGAATCTCTGAGGGCCAAACTGGTCCCAGCTGGGCAGTGCCAGGGGACTCTGGGAGTATGGCTGGCTGGGAGAACTGTGACAGTGATGGGACTGGGCCAGGACCACCACCCACAGCTCCCAGAGGTCCCCAGACCCTTTGCCCAGCACCTCCCAGGCATCCTCCTGCCTCAGACCACCCCTTGCCTGTCCCAGAGACTGCCATTCTGCCTCTCCATCTTGGGCAGGTTTTTTTTTTTTGCTGTTTTAGCAACACAACACACCTTTAATCAGGATGATTAAAGTGTGGCTGGCACTGAGCCAACCCTTGGAACAGAAGTGCTCTTCTCTCTCCCCAAGCACTGTCATTTGAGGTAAGGACTGGCCCGTGCATTTCTTGTGATGGCTCGAGGTGTCTCAAGTCATCTCCAAAACCACCTCCGAGCCTGAAAGTTCCTTTTGCAGCCCTGCAAGAAGGTGGCAGGGCAGACATAGAAGGGTGGGTGCAGGAGAGAAATTTTACTCCTTTCAGTTTAATAGCAACAACACCAACACCACCACAGCCAAAAAACCTGAAGCGTGGAGTAATAGAGCTGGGAGACAGCCTGGGAACAGGCAAGCCATGGCCCCTCTCCAAACAGCAGTTGGCAACCTGGCACTGCACTCGGCTGCGTTAGACACACAGCCCAGGGAAAGCACCCATGGAAATGCAGGAGACACCCCTGCATGATGGAGAGGATGGGCATGGAGAAGGGATCCAGCATCCCCTGTTCCACAGCCATAATCTGGTTCACAGCCCAGTGGGGCAGCTGTGGGGCTTGGTCTCTGTGCAATTTGGTTGCTCTGGGATTCTTCCACTCCTCATTCCCATCCCCATCTGTCTCATGCCTTAAAAGCATGGAAGACCCCTTTCTCCCAGCTGTGGGGATATCCCATTCTGCCATGTCCTATGGGATGCCCTGAGGTCAAGGAGTTCCTATTGAAACTGCTTTGGACTAATAAATGTTTAGGCAATAACATGGAATAGTGGGGGCCACCATGAGGGTGGCTCTGGGGTCAAATGTCTTCCTGAGGAGGCTGGAGATAAGGGGTGCCATCCCTCCTCTGCCTTTGCTGGAGAAGGAACAGACTGGCTTCCCTGGCCAGGGAACAGACACTGCCAGGTCCTTCCTGGTGCCAGGAGCAGGATGTCCAAGGGTCCAGCCCCCTTATTGGTACTACACAGACCCTGGGGCAGGCAGAAGTACTGGGGGTTCATGCCAGCCCCGGAGCTGCATCTGGCCCCTGACAGCTGGAAGAAGACTCACCCAGAGAGTACATGGACATCATTGGCACTCCATTGCTGGTCTTTACCCATGGAGATCAGCAGTGAGGAAAAGGAGGGTTTGCTAAAGGCTCCTTGCAAATTTGCTGCCCGCTGGCACGCAGTGCCCAGCTCCTCAGGGCTGCTTTGGGAGAGGCAGCCCCCCAAACCTCAAGCCTCATCCATGGATCAAGGACAGGCTTTAAGCAGCATCATTCCTACCAGCTGCCAGGTCATGGTGGGGGAAAGGGGGTGGGGGTGGGGAGACTTGGTGGTATCAAACAACTTTGCAAACTGAGATAAATTAATAAAAGGAGTCAGTACTTCTGAGCAAGCTGTTCCAGTTCTGGGAGGAAGTGACGCCAGTCCAGGCTCTGGCCCCTATATTTAGTAAAAATCTAAACCAGACATTGATAATATTATTAAAGACAGGAAGGAGTAAAAGAAGACGTAGCCATGCTGGGATGACTGATCTATTTACGCGAGATGGCGTGAGGAGTGCTGTGAGAAAGGTGTCTCAGGTCAGGAGAGCCTCTGCGGGCCCTTCCCCTCCACCAGCAGAAGAAGACGTCTGACACAGCAGGTTCAAGCAGCCCTAACCCAGTTTAACAAGTGGTACAGGAGGGAGAGGTGGTTAATAAAACATTGGCTGCTTCCCTCAGTGATGTGGAGGGGGTATGGGAATGAGAGCTCTCCTGCTGCCTTTTGGAGCATCACCTAGAAGCGAAATGCTGGCCAAGGGACAGAGCATTGGCTGGGCACTGGTCCATTTGCCCATGCAGAACAGGGAGGCATTGAGTTAGATAAGGAAACACAGTGTGACCTTGGGCGAGAGATGTGTCTTCTGTCCCTGCTCAGGGAAGGGACTGAGTTGTTCCTGTGTGGTGCCACAGCAGCAGGGATTGACTCCAGATTCTCCTTATGTTGCACTGATTGGGGTAACCTGGTGTCCTCTGAGAGAGGAAAGCACTCACCAAAATAGGGGAGTTCGGAGGGAAAGGTGGCAATGTGACAGCCATGTGACTGCCTCTGTGCAGAACCTGGGGGAGAGTCAGAGGTTTCCACCCTGCCTGCATGGGACCCCATGTGAGCAAGGAATGGAGGTCTGGTGTCCTTTGCTTAGTTATACTATTCCTCTCCCCCAAAAAGCAATGGCTTCCAGTGTCTTAAATATCCCAAGCACCTGGACCCTTTCAATAAGACCCATAACAGCAACAACCAACCATGCACAGAGGGCGAAAGTCCTACCAGCCTCACTCCACCCAGGGCTCCCACCAGGGCTCTGCCTCCAGCTCCCCTCTCTGCCGTGGGCATGTGCAAAATGCACCGTGACAGGGAGCTCTCACCAGCAAAAAGGGAAGGGCATGATCTCCCCCTTCACATCCCTACAAGACTGGCTGATGTCCCCTTGCTTGGAGCAGGAATAGATCTGCCCCACCACAAGTCCCCATCCAGCAGGACGAGGGGATGCTGCTGTGTGGTTCCCAGTGATGCACCAGAATGGTTGTGGGTTACTCGCCATCCAAGGGATAATTTTTTTCAGCCTGAGATGCTTCTTCACTGTTGTTGTCAAATCCAATCTAAAAATCATCAGACTAATTAGAAAACAAAAAATGACATTTTACGGGCTGTTAGTGCTGTAAGTGGACTAAGGCCTTATGGTATTTAAAGAATGTTTGGAAAACAACAGCGATATTTACATCTGGGAAAGTTACCAGGCAGAAGCTTCATTTCAGAACATTTTTGTTTAACATACTCAGCCTTGGTGATGACAAATATTACTGCACATCATTACCCCAATTTTTCAGGGTGTTAATACCTCATCCATTGCAAATTGTATCTGCTGTAGACTTGGCAGCTTGGATGAGTTTTTATAGGTTCCCATTTGTTCTGAGTTTCTTTCTCATTTTTGACTTTGAAACTCTGAAGGAGATCGATGAAAGTCAGCAAAAGGTGACAGGAGTGGGGACAGGGGACTCCTGCCAGCCCACAGCTGAGGTGTAGGGTGGTTGTGCATCATTAATCACTCTGCTCACCACCTGGAACTGGTGGAGACATCCAGGACTGGTTTGGTCTTTAGTTCTACCTCTACTTGCTGGGCCTGGCAGATAAGGGGATGTCCATGAGGATGGTGGAGTTGTCATGTCATTGTATTGACCACTGAAGTCTGAAAATGGGCTTCATTTGGTCCTATTCGTCCCTGATGATGCTGATCACTGTCTCCCTACTGCGCTTGCATCCCTGTGGAGCATAAGGGATCCTACATCTATGACTTTGAATTCAGTGCAGCACGGGCTGGATGTCCTTTCCCAAGGCCCCAGGGGACTCATCCCACTGCTGATGGTTTCTTTTGGCCCCTTTGGATACCTTGACATGCTACTGTAGTGCAGATTACATAGCACCTTCCTCTTGGGACCTCCAAGTAAAGTAAACATAGTGAATAATTCACAATGAGCTATTTCTTTAAAGATTTTTGTCTTTCTCTCCCCGCCCCCCCCCTCCCCCCCGCATGCATGTTGTTCATGAAGAAATGAAATTCTCCAGTGCAGTGTTTTGATGTTATTCACAAAACTCTTTGAGGAATAACTGTTGGCTTGTGAGTGCTTTCAAACCAAAGAGTCTGCCACCAGATCTTCAAACTGCAATTTGCAAAACACACAGTTCAAACCATGCATGCAGGGCAAAACCCACCCTGCT